CTTCTAAACGACCTTCTCAACCAACTCTTAGTTCTCCTTAGAGAGCCAAGAAAGCCAAAAAGGGGATAGCCACATCTCTAGCTGAGACCTCTCGACAGGTTTCAGCAATTGAAACTAGCTTTAACCCCGAGGCACTTTCAGCTAACCTCCCCAGCTCTTCAGTGATCCCTGAAGTCACTGTCGTATCAGTGGCACCTACCCCAACTGCCTCAGTGACCCAAATCACTGAAGGTGTGAATATCAGTGCCACCACCGCTGACCACCCACAAGTTCTCTCAGCCATCTTCTCTTCTCCTCCTCCTTTGGTTGCTACACGTGTTCATGATTCATCAACGAATGTCCTCCCTGATGATGAAACACACACCACTGGACCTGAGGTTGCTCCTTTCGAGGCTCCTCAGTATACATATGCTTATCCTCTCAAGGGCATCGTGGAGCAAGTCAGTGATAATCCTTTGGATGTTGCTGATATCCCCTCAAGTACTCCATCTTCCTACCATTTCACTTCCTCTAACCCTGAGCCTCTATTTGCTCACTTTCCATCTCTTTCAGGTCCTGCACCTGACGCGATTGACGAAGACGAAGATGACGAGGATTATGACATGGCATCTGATGTGAAGCTCCTCCCAGCCGTCGACACCGTCTTCTGCAAGATGACCGAAGTTCATCGAGACATGCCTCGCAAGGCTGATGTCGATGCGAACCTCTCAACTGTCAAAGCTGAAGTTCAAGAAGTCAAGAGTCAGCTCTCGACTCTTCAAGAGGCTGTTCGAGCCAATGCTAAATCCATCACTGCTCTTTCTCTAGCAGGGCTGATGAAGCTCAGGTTCAGTCTCTCCAGCAGACGAAGCTCCTCCAGTAGGTCCTGGATGTTGTTCGCCAACCAGCACAAGTGATCCCTCCCTCTTTCAATGCTGATGACCCGCTCAGCTCAATGAGATGCGCAAAGCGACCACCAACCTAGCTAGTTTTGTCGCGGCTAGAGGAGATGATGGTTCTTCAGCATCAAAGCGTGGACCAACTATCTGGCCTATGCTCTCAAGCCTTAGCCAGAGGGGGGGGGGATAAGGTCCAACGCTGCTGGACCATCTGCTGCTCCAGCAATCCATGACGCTGAAGCTAAAGCTTCTAGAGCTGAAGCTGAGATTGCTCATGTTATCCAACCTCCGGTGAAGCTGGTACAACTGAGGAAGTTGATGTCATCCCTCATGATGATGACCTTCCCATCACCTCTGCACCTGTTACTGGTGATGTGGAAGAAGAAGTTGATGAAGAAGATGATGATGAAGGTGATGAACCTGATCTTCCAGACTCCAACAGTGACCTCGATGGCGATGGCGATGGCGATGACGATGATGAAGATGACTTCACCATCCAGTTCAAGCGTCCAACAACCGCCACCAAAGGAGTCGCCCTCAGGGATTCCGCATCCCAGGGGGAGCAAAGGGAAGAAGTGTCAGCGTCTCAAAGGAACCAGGGCCCTTCGTCGAAAGGCAAAGGAGTAGCTGAAGAAAGGAATTTGACGGTACTTTTTCAACACCCTCAACCCTTATTTGATGACTCTACCTCTCAGGTAGTCATCACCTCCCTCTACCAACTTGACATTCCCTCCACTACCTGCGGTCGACTGGAATGGGTCCCTGAGAACCCTATCTCCGGTGCTCCTACTGACTAGCAGATGACCAGACTAGAGTAAAAATCCCTCTTCGTACCTCTAGTGGTGGTGAGTTCGAAACCCTGACAGAGGCTGAAAGACTCGAGGCAATAAAAGCTAAAGAAGAGCTAGAGCTTCAGAAGAAGCAGACTGAGGACAACCTAAAGCTGGCCAAGTCACTAGCTGAGAAAGTTCTTCTAAAGAGAAAGTCCAAAAAGAAGGAGAACGTTGTCCAAGCCCAACCTAAGCTACTCTCTCTTGCAGAAGCTAAGCACGAGAAAAATCTGATGCTGGCTGAGCGGGACAAGCGCTGGAGCGAAACTAAGCTAAAAAAGAGAATCAGTCCTCACCGGATCAAGAGCGTCAGCATCAGCGGACGGTCTAAAGACGGTGGAACTCTTCTCTTACTACGCATCACCAAGGACAATCTCGATGCCATAACCGAGTACCCTTTCTACCTTGGCCAATATGGATACAACGAATGGTTGGAGATCAGACAAGCCATTCAGCGCTCCAAGTCCAGACATAAGCCGATTATCGAAGACATCATCAACGATCTTATCAAAAGGATGTCCAGGTATGTCGCAGTCCCTGATAGGCCATCACTGAAGAAAGGAGGAAGGAAGAAAAGACTCTCTAGTCCTAGTGATGGACCATCCCTAAGGAATGAACATGAAACAAAGTTCTCCTTAGATGAAGTCCTAAAGGATCGTGAGAGTCCAGACATCTCTATGCTGAATCTTGAGTTGCCAGCGAAGGGTCCTTATACACCCAACTCTGTGCACTTCAAACCTAAGTTAGGAGTTATATTCATTAACTATGAAGGTGAAGTAAGATTTCAAAGAATGTCTGAATTACATCTATGCCCGATGGAACACCTGGTTTATCTTACATTCTGGCTAGATGATGACTTGAAAGGAAAAGTTGTGGACTGAAGGATACGAAGAGAATTTCTACGTCGAAAGAAGCTTGGAGAAGATGTACCTGGTTTCATGAATCTAGACAATTTAGACTAGTTTATTTTCTTTGTAATATTGTCCTTGTATTGTAATCTACTTATTATGTCTACTTTTAGTGATTAATCTTATATTCTATAGGATTTAGACATGTACTGAACATTTTTGTAATACTTCCCTTGAAAATAATATAAGTGTTTTTGTGCATCACTGAAAAAGATCCCTGGAAAAAGTAATAAGGACACAAGTCTATGAGTTCCATTATTACTTTTCACATTCACTAACAATCTATAAGTCAGCGAATAAGCTTTCAATTGCAGTTTCCCTTCTTATAACTTTTCTTAGACTTAACTTAAGGAAAATTCTCCAAGTAAAGACTGACTCACTGAAAAAGGTCTCAAAATAGTTAAAAAGGACATGTACTTTATGTGTTACTTTTCCTTACTATTATTTGATAAGACAACTTTCTTTATGTTGTCTTGTTATCATCAAATAGGGGGAGATTGTCGATCCCTCTCTCATTTGATTTGATGATAATCCCTTTTACTTTATACGAAGTATTTATGTTTTTGTTTTCAGTTCCAGCGATCATCACTGAGTTTGTTCAGTGATCGCTGAAAAACTTGTAATGTAAATCCAATCAGCGACAACGATACTTCAAGAAAACAAAACTCACACCAAAGAACCTTCAGCAAAAGTCGAAGACTAAAACTGAAGATTAGAGACTGGCGAGTACGTGATCTGAAGCGGTATTCAGTGATTACAACCTTGTCTACATATGTGTGAAGACTGCCCAAGCCTCAGCAAATGCCAAAGAGACCTTCAGGTTATTCTAGCATTCAACGATCAAAAGAAGCTTGTTGTGCACGATTGCTTTTGTTTTGTCCTCATACACACAAAGGACAACTCCATACCCTTTCTAAAATATAGCACGGTATGGAGCCGACTAGTTGACTCTACTACCCACCAACTTTGTGAAAGGATGTCCGCTCATGAATAGGGTTTTGTACAATTCACAGTAGCAAAGGACAAGTCATTCTCTAAAGGCTTAACACGCGTTCTAACCCTACCACGTTGCATTAAATGTGCATTTAATGCAATGGGCATAAATGAATATATTCTATCTCCATGCAGAGATACTCCTCACTACTACTCTGAACTTACTTACGCTTAAGTAAAAGAACACACACATCTAAGAACAAATACGCTCATCTTCAACAGCAAGTTAGAATCTCTTTATTGTATTCTAAATAGTAGTCTCCCAGATAGAACTTACTTTCTACTATGTCTTTTACAACAAATCTTTTCTTCATTTGCTAAGAACTAGTGTGTAACTTTAGATTGTTTAGATAAGTTTTATTTACCTTATCTTTCCGCAAACAATCTTGTAAAATATGTATTGATCCTTATCTATCAATATATATATATTTTAAATTTGAAAAGTTTACTGTGTTTGTATTCATACCCCCTGTTCTACAAACTGTCATACACATCTTGTAGACCCTAACGGGACCAACAACCATCCTATCTACACAAAAGAATGTATTAGTAGAATATGTATGTCTATTTTATCCTTTTGATTCTCTTTTTTCACTAAACCATTTCTAAGGTCGAATGTTTAAATATATACTTTGTACTTCTTAATGAATAGTTGCACTTATTTTTAGTTGCAGACTTATTAGAAAACTTGACATCCCACATCATTTCACGGGCATACAATTAGTATGATTAAATAAAAAAATATTCAATATTTGGCTCATTTTAAAGATATTCATGAGACGCTTATAATGGTATAGTGTGTAAAAAAACGTATTTTTTAAGTATTTTAGTTAATATATGATTACGTATGTTAATACAATAGAGGTGTAAAATGAAAAATGAAAAAAAGAAGGGATATATAGTAAATCAAATAGCTAATTATGTGGTCATAAAATGTTTTTAATTAATCTTTTTGCTAATATATTTGTTCAAACATTACATGGATTGAGTTTTATTTTGTATAGCTATATCAAATACCAGTTTGTAAGGCCTAAAACCATGACAAAAATGCCTATATGCTAAGGTGACTATCTTACCTTGATTATCAATCAATTTTACATAGATCTAAGTTTTTCTAGCTATATCAAATACCAATTTGAAAACTAGGTTTACATGTGAAATAACACACGTTTCTTTTATCAAATACACATATTTACAGGTTACTTTTAAAAAGAATGGAAACGGAGTTGGATCCAACAACATAAGAGACTTTGGACAGAAATATGTTGCTTTCATTCACCTTTCTACTTAAATATGCATATTTCCACATAATTTCCAACAAAATTAAAATTCTAAACAGTTATTAACAATAAACAATCAACTATACAGTTCTTCTTCTATACACCTCTCTGTTAAACTGACTCATCTTGGAGACTCAGTTTGTCAAATAATTCTTCTAACTCTTTCTCTACAACATTATAATGTTCTTTAGATGTTGCACCCTCCTCGACAATCCGAAGGGCCCGTTGAGATAGATGATTATACAAGTATAACGCGCCATTATTCAAATCATCGAGTCTATAATCTACATGTTTAGATCGTACCTTATAGTCTCGGCTCCATCGTGGAACGATATACTGAGAAGGGACTTCTTCAATTCCATTGTAGTTGAGAACACTTAATGCATGCCTGCTTAAATAGTCATTGAAGTTAAGCAAGAGACAAATGCAGCGTATTTCTTCACGAGTTGACTCATACACAACCTCTAGAGTTCTAATCTCCTTTTCCTCACCCTCGAGTTGGACTCATTGACATTGACTTGCCTGGTGTTGAAGCAACATTGCATTCCCTTAACCTCGGCTTGGAACAACTTCAAAATCTCCTTGGTGTAGAATCTTGAAAGCTGGATTTCGTAACTGCATCTAGTTTATGGAGTAAAGATTGAAGCTTTTCTTGATTTGAGATCCTCCTTAGCTTCTTTTAAGCGATTTCTGTGTAAAGCTAGATCATACTTATCGAGGAATTCCTTAAATGATGTGTATATATGAACAAAACAGTCGAAAAATGGATAATGTTTCATTTACTTTCAAGGGAATCATACCTGCAAAGGCAACATCGTTCAAGTAAACTGGAACCCATTGTTGTCTATCTACATATAGTGCTTGAAGCCATTTATTACCACCAAGCCCATCATGATCATTGATCATTTTATACCATGAAGTTTCAAAATCAATTTCAAAGAGTCATAGACTGCTTTATGTATTTGCCTCTTGATTGCCTCATAATCTTTTAATCCGCCCAATTTCTCGGGTACTTGTTGATTAATATAGCACAAGCAATAACAATGACAAGATCATGGGAAAACCTGGTGAACCGCCGCTTACAAGGGCTTAGACCATTCACTTGTGATAACTTGTGGAGGTTGATCCATCATGCATGTAAGCCATGTCTTAAACATCCATGTGAAGGACTCGAGAGAATCGTCTCCAAGAAACGCACAGCCCAATAATACATATTGTCTATGGTGGTTAACTCCAACAAATGAAACAATGGGAATCTCATATTTGTAAGTCAGGATTGTTGTATCGATCAAAATTGTATCATAGAAGTAATTATATGCAACTTTGGACCTTGCATCAGCCCAAAACACATTCTGCAACTGTCCTTCATGATTGAGATCCATCAGGTAAAAGAAGTTTGGATTTGTCAATTTCATTCGACAGAAGTAATTGTAGACGGCATGCACATCTCCACCTTTAAGATCCAAATGCTTAGAACTCTTTAAAAAAAATCTTACCTCTTTTCCGTCAAGATTTGAGTCGTGGCTGTATCCAGCATGATTGACTGCTGTTATATTTGTATGATACAACTTGATCGTATGTATTTCCTCTACGTGTTCCAACTGATATCCTTTCTTGGATGCAAGGATCATCCTTTTATGCGACTTGTAAAAACGTTTTACTTCTGGGCTGACTGGATGGTTGTGTAGGAGCTCAACTTCAATAATCCTCCATCTTTTAGAATCCACAAGCTTAATGATGATCATTGCAGGGCAACCCCTTCTTGTTTTTGGTCCCGTATTGCTTGATCCGCTCTTCTTTTTAAAACCGGCACTACTACAGCTAAGTTTTACTCTATAACGCTCTTTCACTTTTGATCTAAACCATGAATTGCTTACCCTAATGCCAAAACCATGTTCTCTGCCTTATCTGTTGTAGAAATAATAAGCTTCGTTGAACGAATCAAACTCTAAACCAACGGTGGGTGGCAGGGGGTTCTGTATTTGACTGTGTTTCACAAACTTCATCGTCATGTGCTTTCTCGTCCACGAGTTCGTCTTCTTCAAACACAGGCTCACAGTTGAGGCAAACCTCCATTTAATACATATGCAGCTTTCATGAAGGCTTTCATTGAAGAATCGAAAGAATCTTATCAAACCTATAAGTTCAAAAGAATGGTGTTCATAGCGACATTACAGCAGCCGGACAAATAGTAGTCATCCCCTTTCCATACCATTCAACTTTGGATTTTGTTACAAAGTAATCGTTGTTCTTGCAGAATGCTACAAAAACTAAATAGTTTGCAAGGATGAGTACTTATAGACAAATTGTGAATTTGTAAATGCAAAAAATGTTGCACTTGCACTTTTTTTTGGTTAACCATGGGTGTCTGGGCCAGCTTGCGTGCACCTCGTTTAAACCCATGGGGCCGCCAGAAAAATCCCCAATGGCAATGAAGAGACTCAAACTACCGACCTATGGAGAGGAGCCCCAATACCTAGCCTTTATTTGCCAGTTGAGCTATCCCTCAAGGTTCTGCTTGCACTTTTTATCAAAGATGGCTCGTTCTTGCGTGCAATTTTCATTTTGGTTTCCTTAGAAACGTTGGTTTGTTTCTGAACAAAGGCCCTGACATTTTCATAGTTGCCTTGAGTAAGCTTATTTGATGTTAAACCTTGATATTATTCTCTAGATTTCTAGATTTTTCTAGAAACTACATTAAACGAGGAGAGCAACAGATAACGGAAGGTGGAATGTGGCTCCACATTCTGAGAAAAGTTGAGACAATATATGCTTGTAGCGTACCTAGCTCAAGTGGATGAACTTGAAAAGATAACCTAGAGATGATGAGTTTACATCTTTGTGTTTTGCCTAGCATATGTTCAGGGGTATACAAAATGGAATATGGCAAAATTGCACCCCCTTAGATGTGGTTTCCTAGGTCTTGAGAAAAATAACTTGTTTCTTGCTATGGACTGTAGAGATGCACAAAAGGATTAGGGCCTATATAAAGACCAAGTCCGATCCTTACGGCACATCGTCCTAATCTATCCCTCTTGCTCTGGTCCTAATCGGAAATCTCACTCAAAGAAGGTAGCTAGTAGGAGTAGGACAAGAGAATGACCAAGAGTTACCAGAAATGGGAATCACTGTCATTTGCTGTTCCAGGGTTGAAAACATAAATGGTCTTGGGTCCTTGGAATATCTTTCTTTCGTAGGCTTGGACTAAAATGGTTGGGATTGGCTAGTTCCTCGGTCTTTTGTGCATAACATAGTTAAAACATTTTAGCTTGAGCAACAGGACTACAGATTTGTATTGTGTGGGGAACCAATTGTTTCATTCTTATTACCTTCCCAACTAACCAATTCTTCCACATACTTATGATATAGGTACTAGAAAAAGCAATGATCATATCCTCTAGAAGAACCTAACTAGTTATAGCTGAAATAACCCACAACCCAATGGCCTTAAGAATTAAAAGCAGTGAGCATAATCTACTAGCAAACACTAAAGAGAGGCCTATGTGATACTTGTCAGAATCACATGATTCAGACTCTAATCTCATGATACGAACCAACCCCAAAAGCAATGATGTCAATCCCATTTCTGTATCTAAAAAATATTTCACACGGAATCATATTGAGGTCAATTCGTCTTATAGAATTTACAAAATTCTTAACCTTATTTGTGCTGCTTCTGTGAATAGGTGTGTAGAAATTATTGATCCAGAACTAATTAGTAGCCATATGGATACAATTTCTTTTTTTGCTAGCATCTGGCAAAGTGGTAACAAATGACCAATGGAACATTCTCATGATTAATACTAGCATAATTTAGTTTATACAAAAATAGCTACTTTTTTTGTTCTGTATTTCTACATATTGAAAGTAGAAGCAGATCTGAAACTTGTTTTGATTCATGATTCATGAAACTCCATACTTTCTAACACAAGCGCCACCAAAAGATGGTCATAGTTACTTGATTACCATAGAAAAAATCTATAAAATTTCTTGAACTCTACTCATAGACACTGATGTAAGCTCCATATGATCTAAAAAGTATGATGATAGAAACTAGAATTATAAAGAGTTTGTGTCCTTGCTTCAACTTTTTGGTCCATACATTCTTCCTCCTGACAGTGACGTGTATCTCCCCACATCAATTGAGTAGATTGGGTAGGCCTTAAAAGGTAATGCAAAATTGGCTTAATATTTGCATCAAAGACTGTTCAATTTGGGAATCTAAGTTCAATTAGTTTCTATCTGCGAGTATGTAGAACAACTGTTGCAATAATCCCACCTAATAGTTATACAGAAACACCCGGTACTTTTTCCCACCGTGAAGTATAATGTTTCAAAACAGAACTAATCAATGGGCTCTGCCATATTCTCTCTTTATCCGGGGGTTTTGTAATAGCTTGTCAAATGACATTTCAAAAGCCCGGGAAGAACCAAAATTTAAATCTTCAAGCAAGCATGTACAAATGTAAGAGTAATTTTTTCATGAGACAATGCACAGGACTAACATCTCAACTGGTCAACATCCAGACCACACGAGCACCGTGCATGAACTCAAAGCCAACAATTCGACTACCTTTAACAAACAAATCTACAAAACTTAAAATAGATATAAATATACAACAAACAAAATAGAACCTTACTAAAGAAAAAGGGCATGTAAACACACACAACTTGTGGAGTAAGCACCTAGAGTGTATGGCTTAAAGTACAAAAAGTGTACAAGAGCTATTAGTAGTCTAAAATTTGTGCAATAAGCACTTATATGTTTACAAGCTCTTTTTTACTTTTTATGCCTTGAAGTTTATTGATTTATTTATGTGGGCAGGTTATTGAGTTTCTGTAGTGTACATCATTTTCTTCATTTTCCATTCTCAGTGTTTCTAGTCGATTCTTCATGCCCACAAAACCCCCGAAAGCGATCAAGCTAGCAAAACAATTTAGGCACGTTTATAATAAACTATTCTCATCCCATCTTCATCTTCATCTTCATTACATACAAAAATGGCAAATGACCAAAATGTTGGAAATTTTGTAGGTTGGAAGTTTATCTTCCATCCCACATTGGTAGAAATATATTTTCTAGAGAAGCTTATAAGGCTTTCTTTAGAAATGGGCTTTGAACAAATTGATAGACTCATGATGGGGTTTTGAGTGGAAGGCCCAACACACACGTGTGGCCGAGGCCGCGGGATTCGCGAGGAAGTGCACTTTGCACGCCGCATGAGAGCAGAAGGAGCCTAGCTCCGAGTATCTTTTTGGTACAAAATCGAGAGGAGAAGGAAAATAAACTGGTTTTATTTTAAAACAAATCGGTTTATGACTTGGTCTTCCACGTTTTTAGAGATAATGGCCTGTTGAGAAATATCCTCGTCATTATTCTAGCGATTCGTGAGGATTTCGTGGAGCAATAGTAGGCTTCAACCAGTATATAAATTGGGTTGAAGCCAGTTCGAACACCACAAGAAAAAAACCAGTCTTTTCTCTCCTTCGATTTCTGCTTTCGAGTCCATTTTCTCTCTACCGTTTTTTCCTGCATCCACCGTGTTCTATATTCGTTATTGATCAATGTTCATAGACGAATCAAATACTGCATCAAATCCTGGGGCCTTGTGACTAGCAGACTCACAGCGTGAATAGAGTGGTCGTATAAAACCTTAAAGGACAGGTTTACCGTGCAGATTACAATACAAATCGACAAATTTAATCAGGTTGGTTTTATATTTTACACATTGTATTTAATTTTCTGTTCACTAAGTGAACAACTCTGCTTCTACTCCTTTCTTTCAATGAATCTATCGCAAAGGATAGATTCAATCTATGTGATTTGACACTCTGTTGAGGTGTTGGTGGTTCTGAATACTAAAAGGTTTAATTTTTGTCCGTAATTTAATTAAAGTTTTTAAAAAGATTAAAACTTTATTTTGTTTTCATCTATCTTATTGGAATATTTTTCAACATTCTTTAAGGTTTTATAACTAAAATGGACACCGAAAACTACCGTATTCTTAATCAAGATATGATGAAACTGGAGAAATTTGACGGGTCAAGTTACACTCGTTGGGCGGACAAAGTAAAGTTCATGTTAATGGTGGTCAAACTCTACTATGTTCTGGACCCAAGCGTCCCACCTATTCCCGAAAATTCGGTCCCTGAAGCAGGGAAACAACTAGATGTTCAGAGAATTGTTGATCTGGAAAACTGAGAATGATCCGCAAGGAAGAGGAAACTCTTGCTTGTGGACACATTAAGAATGCTCTCTCAGATCGTCTGTATGATCTGTATTCCCCGATTACGTGCCCTAGAGAGTTGTGGAAAGCATTAGAATTCAAATACAAGTCACAAGAAGATGGCACTAACAAATATCTTGTGTCTAAGCATTTGAGATTTCAAATGGTTGATGAAAAACCGATTCTAGAGCAAGTGCATGAGCTCCAAGTTTTAGTAAATAAACTTAAAATGCTTTCTATTGCTATTCCTGAAGTTTTTCAAGTAGGGGCAGTGATTGACAAACTGCCTCCATCTTGGAAAGATTTTTCTAAAAGAATGATGCACAAAACCGAAGATTATTCTTTGGATGATTTACTAAAACATCTTTGAATCGAGGAAGAGGCGCGTAATCGGGAAAGGAGAGGCATGTCTTTGATGAATGCCAACAACGTGCAGACTAGAGGCAAGGGTAAGGGAAGGGCCGGAGGGCCAAACAAAAAGTGGAACTTGGGTCCACAAAAGAAGAGTTTCAAGAGAT